CAGAGACCGACTAAAAAACGCCTGCGGGGGAAAACGGCTATCGTATTCGGCATTAGCATGGTCGATTACCTATTGTCCACTAGGTTTTAAGCCAAAAGCGATGGGGCAGTTGGTGGCCTTCCCTCGTTAGATTATTTTTAATTGTGTACACTTTCTCTTTTAGTGGTTAGCTGTACCATTTGCACTCGAACATAAAAGCGTTGGTAGTATAATAACAACGTGGCCTGAATGGCGAGGACATATTGAAAAATATCAGGAAGTTAAATGGATCGATGATTTGCTACTACTCATTTTCGGTGGAATACCATGGCAGGTAAAAAAAGGAATACCCTAGTGAATATACTAGTGACAGTACTTGTTGATATTTTATAAGTAAATTTACTTGTCAACTACTTGAGAAAATACTTGACAGGTAAAATGTAAGGCTGGCACAATGCAAAAGTAGATAGATCTACTTGAAAAAGTTCAGTCAAATACTTGTTTCATTTATTTTTATTTTGTATTTTATACATATTCTGGAGCTATACTCTACTTTTATAGAGCAAATACATGCACGACTACTAACTCTGTTCAACTCAGTGAAATATATAAGTTTATTTTATAAGTGTATAACGATTGATATTGTGGTGTTTATATACAAGCGATCAATTCAAAAGAAAAGGGTGACTGGCGTGTCCAAGTACTTGGCTGAAGCAAGTCAAGTGACGATACTTGCCAAGTGCTTAACTTGTCACGTACTTTCCAAGTACTCATCAAGTAATCAAGTACTTTACCAAGTACATTCACTAGGGTAGTTATTTTTAATATAGTGACGTGTTCACGACATAGTAAGTTGTTTTCAGGTCTATTTTCAACGTGTATTATCAGCCAAAAGTGCTCAGCAGGCAATGTATTTATCATTTTGTGCTGCTGTTGGGTGTATTGTATTGGCCGTTCCACCTGTACTTATCGGCGCAATTGCTAAATCGACAAGTGAGTGACCAAGAGTGTATAGAAGTAGAATAAATGCGTAAGTAGCGTTTTTCATATTTAGATTGGACAGCAACTGATTATGACATTAAGCAAAATATAACATCTCCCGAAGCTCAAAAGTTAATATTACCGTTGGTCTTACAACATTTATGCCCAAAATCAATAGCTTTTATTGGTCTTGGAGCTGTATCAGCTGCTGTTATGTCTAGCGCCGATTCAAGTGTTTTAAGTGCAAGTTCAATGTTCGCAAGAAATGTATGGAAATTAGTGTTTCGTAATCATGTACGTATTTGAACAAGAATAATCAAACTTAATTTTAGACTGCTGATTCATTTAGGCTGGTGAACGCGAGGTTTTATGGGTAATGCGTGCGGGAATATTTTTTGTTGGTGCAGCTGCTGCAGGAATTGGTATTCTCGTTCCATCTATCTATTTATTGTGGATCTTATGTTCAGATCTGGTTTACGTCGTTTTATTTCCCCAGCTACTCTGCGTCGTCTATGCTAATTTTACCAATACTTATGGCTCATTGGCCGCTTATATTATTGGATTTCTATTTCGTATATTGATTGGTGAGCCCGAAATTGGTATCCCACAAGTTCTTGTATTACCATGGTTTATACCATCTAAAACATTTTGTATGCTACTGAGTTTATTTACAATATTATTTGTATCGTACATAACGAAGACCTTATTTGAAAGCCATACTATACCAGCAAAATATGATATCTTCCATTGTCTGGTCAATATTCCAATTGAAACAATGCCATTGAAAGAGAGTGCAACAAATGAAGAATTTTCAAAATTAAATGTGAACATTTCGAGTAAAACAAAAAAATATGATAACGATTTATCGTACCAAACGCTTGGAGACACTTTGAATGGGCCCTATAGTCCTAGTCAGGAAACACTGGCGTATAACGATAGTCGTTAACGGGAGAATAGGGAGAGATTAGTTTTTTTAACTCTAAGTATCGGTTTAACCGGTGATACCACAACATTTCATGTGTCAGGTTTCTGACATTTCCATACAACCTTTTAATTTGAAAGAAATGTGCATCATTCACTGTAAAAAGTAATTACGATAAAAAGCGGAAAAATGCAGAATAATGCACGATCCACAATATCCCACACTGGGATCTTTTTCTGAGATATTCTGCTACATTGTGAGTAAATAATCCTAGCGAAATTCTCATCATGTCCCACTATATCCCAGAATCTCTTTGAGACATGGTGAGAATTTCACTGAGATTTTATACTCACAATGTGGCAAAATATTTCAGTAAAAAAATTCCGATATGGGATATTGTGGATCGAGCATTATCTGCTTTTTATTGTAGTAATCTTTTTATAGAATCTGTTCCATCTCTTCATTTGTGGTCTTTTTCTCTTTCTCTTTCACAATAATAATCTAAAATTGCTTTCAAAGTTCAAAATTTTTAGTTAAGGTTTTTTAACCAGATTAACACAAGAAAAATTGTTTCGTCCTCATATATTTTAAATTTTTATACGTTAGTGTGTTTTTTGTTATCAAAGAAGTTAGTGACTTATAAAAGAATTTAGCTACATGTCTTTGTGACACATTTTGCATATCAAACTCCGATTTTTTTCTTAGAATATGAACTTTAGGTTAGTCATCTAAGTTTTCATTAATTTTGATATTACTTTATCTTTTAAACTATTTCTAGTATTACAACATATTAGTCTTTGTGTCAGATTTTTATAAGTAAAGTAAGGAATACAGCGAACAAAAAACAGTAGCTCGACGCAAATTTTTTTCGGCAAGTTTTATTTCTTCCGTCTCTCATTTTATTTTCATGTTAAGTTGATCTCTAAAATATATTGATGTGTTGTATACCATTGTTTTAATATTTGTTGTTGTTGTTGTTGAATACTACTTTATTTGGTGATAAGCATAATCATATCAGTACATATCAAGTATTTTGCAAATATTCAAGACATATCAGTCTTTTTTGAACTTGTAACTTTTTTTGATATTTTTTGTTCCATTTTTTCTTAGTAAATAAAAAAATACCCACTTAAGACAATCTATATGCTTACGGTATATGACTGTAGTTTTTAAAATATTACCATTCAAAGTACAGATTATAGCGACAGGTAAGTTTTTTATATTCAAAACTTATTAATTTTAGTCATTTTTTAGGTTTCAGTATTGAGTAGAAAAGTAAAGCCAAAATATGTCGCTCAATATGACAATGAATTTGAGAGAAACAACACTTGTCTGAGAAAAAAAACTTAATCCCTTTGAACATGAACGATGACGAGATGAGTATCAAATTCTTTTTATATATGCACTTTTTAATTTAATATTACGCATGATACTGAAATCTCAAAATATAAATGACCTGTTGCTCATAACATATAAATATGTGAATGTGTGTATTTAGATATAGAATCATTAAGTATAAGGCTACTCTCTCTTTCATTTTTAAAAAATATTGTTCTCTCCCTCTCTCTATTTCTCTCCAAATGAAAACATTGTATCCAAAGACAAACAGTAGTTTACGAACGTGTGCCATCGTGTTTGTTATTGAATGACTTCAAATCTTTTTCTAGTACTACAACAGATACACTGTCTATTTACTTTTATGAAAATATATACGCTACTGGTTCAAAGAAGAATAAAAAGGGATCGACATACTACATATATGCTGTTCAACGAGCAAAGAGAATAGAAACAGAAATGTGTACAACATGCAATTTTAATTTTTTGTTTCAAAAAATAATATATATATATATATACCATAGACGAAGTTATCGCAGAAGTAACTTAGTGGTTTCTGTTATTCGACTGTTCTTATTATTGTTACCTAAGCAAATTTACTCTAATCACGTAAGTCTGCTCAGTGTATTAGTGTTGAAAAGATATATTAGTAGAGAGACTGAGATACGGACTTAATTTGAGTTAGTCTGCACTCATTGTGAGAAAGCTTGAAAAATGATATTTACTTGCGCAAGACAGATTGAACTGAAATTTTGGAAAATGAATAACGACGATTACTTATAGATTTTCTGAAAATTTTGTCTTAGAAGTCTCGATGATTGCAAAGATATTCATTTTTATAGGTGACGTCAAGTCAGTAGCGTT